ATGACCAAGGATGGAAATCGTAAACTAAGGGAATTAAAGGGGTAGGGATTGCATATCCGACCCCGGCGTGGGGGTCCTGCGAACTGCCGCTAAAATAAAAGTGGACTTGGGGATATTTGAGGCAGTCCGTCTGGGTGGATTTTGCTTCCTGTAATGCATAAATACCTACTTTAATGTTGGATATCGTCTGCTGGAAAAGCTCTAGAAAAAAACCTCCTGCTCCCACAGAGCAACGTGCTGCACTTTCTTCAATAGGTGTCCTGGGTAGATCTTTGCACTTTGTGCATATTGCGCAGCTGCACCTGAAACTGTCTGTATTCATTGCATGCTTTCGGATACAGAACATGGATGGTATGGAGCGGCAATCCATTGGAGTTAGCGAATATGTTTTGAGGGAGTTAACGTAAAAAAAATGTGAATACAGTGGTCAGAAGTATGGAATTTATCACTAGAGTCATTATTGCCAACCCATGCCATGCTGATAGTCAGTACACAGAAACTACCCAAGCGAGGCCTGCACCTTTGTGCTGGCGCATAAAAATTAACCAAATTGCCTGCCAAAAATCCACGTGGTTTCCATCTTCGGCTAAGAGGTACAACAATACCTCCATACTGTTGCCTTTGCTACACCAGCGGCGATTAATTGACCATTGGATATGCTGAGGGTCTGCATCAAGCTGCTTAGCAATATCGGACCAGATTTCTCCCAGAATATCATTGGGAATCTGGCGCTGGGAGCGATCACGTGGCAATCTTTTGAAAATAGAATCTAGTTGCCAAAACGCAAAGTTTGTGAAATTGGTCGCTATTGCGCTCAGGCTCTTCAGCGGTTCATTGTTGAAGGGCTCATAGCCAATGAAAATGTTGATATAGAGGTCGGTAGTTGACCCACTTCGTGAGCTTGTCCACTGTCTAATGGTAGTGGGGAAAAATGCTCCCTGGCAAAATGATCATCCAGAGTCCACCCCATGTTGTGCATCGATGGAGAACCTTTTCGGATATCCGGAAGTGTGAACGCCAGCTTGCCTGTGCGAGAAGTGGAAAAAATTGCCCCACCTCCGATTCGGATGAAGTTGTAGCAACCCAGCGCAATGTTCTCTCTTCCTGGTCATACTGATGGAAATCACCGTCTAAGGCTGCAGTAGCCTTGTCTACATATTGAAGAAAATCTTGGTCGACTGCAAGATTGAGGTGATAGAGGCACTTGTCCAGCTGCAGGTACCTACAGAACTCAGTAGGTGGCGAATAATGTTGTTGATACACATTTCCCTCATGCCGCCAGAAGGAGCGGTGCGCTTCGCAAAGCAGACATTTCCCCATGCCCAGAATGGCGTCACAATCGCCGTTTGGTGTTTGAGGGCACGACACTGTTGGAAAATCCTGGGAGAATACGATTTGCGCTGCAATCTGGGCATTGCGACTTGAATCCCGATGCGCACAGGCACATTGTGCAGGGAGCGATCACGTGGCAATCTTTTGAAAATAGAATCTAGTTGCCAATACGCAAAGTTTGTGACATTGGTTGCTATTGCGCTCAGGCTCTTCAGCGGTTCATTGTTGAAGGGCTCATAGCCAATGAAAATGTTGATATAGAGGTCGGTAGTTGACCCACTTCGTGAGCTTGTCCACTGTCTAATGGTAGTGGGGAAAAATGCTCCCTGGCAAAATGATCATCCAGAGTCCACCCCATGTTGTGCATCGATGGAGAACCTTTTCGGATATCCGGAAGTGTGAACGCCAGCTTGCCTGTGCGAGAAGTGGAAAAAATTGCCCCACCTCCGATTCGGATGAAGTTGTAGCAACCCAGCGCAATGTTCTCTCTTCCTGGTCATACTGATGGAAATCACCGTCTAAGGCTGCAGTAGCCTTGTCTACATATTGAAGAAAATCTTGGTCGACTGCAAGATTGAGGTGATAGAGGCACTTGTCCAGCTGCAGGTACCTACAGAACTCAGTAGGTGGCGAATAATGTTGTTGATACACATTTCCCTCATGCCGCCAGAAGGAGCGGTGCGCTTCGCAAAGCAGACATTTCCCCATGCCCAGAATGGCGTCACAATCGCCGTTTGGTGTTTGAGGGCACGACACTGTTGGAAAATCCTGGGGGAATACGATTTGCGCTGCAATCTGGGCATTGCGACTTGAATCCCGATGCGCACAGGCACATTGTGCAGGGAGCGATCACGTGGCAATCTTTTGAAAATAGAATCTAGTTGCCAATACGCAAAGTTTGTGACATTGGTTGCTATTGCGCTCAGGCTCTTCAGCGGTTCATTGTTGAAGGGCTCATAGCCAATGAAAATGTTGATATAGAGGTCGGTAGTTGACCCACTTCGTGAGCTTGTCCACTGTCTGATGGTAGTGGTTCTGAGGCTCATCAAATGTATTCTCCAGATAGGTGGCAAAAAAGCGATCCCAGGTCGTGGGCGGTGAGTTGAAACCTATGTCCTTGGATTCCTCAACCATCAATACCGCCGACGCTGCCCGCTGCCACATAGCGGTCCTATGGGATGACTCCGATCCTGCAAATGTCTACACTTGGAGAATCGAATATCTACCATTCCTGCAAAATATCGTTCCGGCAAGTCAACCAGGAAAAATGCTCCCTGGCAAAATGATCATCCAGAGTCCACCCCATGTTGTGCATCGATGGAGAACCTTTTCGGATATCCGGAAGTGTGAACGCCAGCTTGCCTGTGCGAGAAGTGGAAAAAATTGCCCCACCTCCGATTCGGATGAAGTTGTAGCAACCCAGCGCAATGTTCTCTCTTCCTGGTCATACTGATGGAAATCACCGTCTAAGGCTGCAGTAGCCTTGTCTACATATTGAAGAAAATCTTGGTCGACTGCAAGATTGAGGTGATAGAGGCACTTGTCCAGCTGCAGGTACCTACAGAACTCAGTAGGTGGCGAATAATGTTGTTGATACACATTTCCCTCATGCCGCCAGAAGGAGCGGTGCGCTTCGCAAAGCAGACATTTCCCCATGCCCAGAATGGCGTCACAATCGCCGTTTGGTGTTTGAGGGCACGACACTGTTGGAAAATCCTGGGGGAATACGATTTGCGCTGCAATCTGGGCATTGCGACTTGAATCCCGATGCGCACAGGCACATCGTGCAAAGAATGAAATCGTTTTGTGCCCTTGTTGGAAAGCTTCCCCTTACCAGTGCTTTTCCAAGAGCCTTTATTGTTGAGTTTCCCTTTGGACTTGCCGTCCTTGCCATAGTCGCTGGGGTCCGGTCGCTCCTTGAAGTTGGTAGTGATGGATGATCACTCAAGAGCTTTGCCAGTGATGGAGTCATGCTGACGAAAATCATCGGAAATGGAAACTGCCGATGCGGAAATCGAATGTTGGAGATGTCAAAGGCTTTGTCAAAATTGTGCCTTGCTGTCGTAGTCTTGTCAACAGCAGATCTTGAGAGTGCTTGAATAAGCTCCAAAGTTTGTATTTGGTGGTGAAGGCGTCAAACCATTTCTGCTGGATCTCTTCAAGGTAGTTCTCCACAATGAGCAGGACGCATAGATAACGTCTCGGGAACCTGTTGTCCAGTAGGTATGTTACCTGCGCTAACAGTTGTGGAGTACTTGCATTTTTGTCCGGCCGTATTTGCAGAGTCGCCCTGTCTGACTGGAGCTCTCCGTTGCTTCCTTTCATGTCTGCCGGTAGTATGCCCTGGGACAAATCGAGCAAAGCGTAATACGGCTGCAGCGACAATCTGTCGCTGGTCGGAATATCATTCTTCACCTTTGCCTTTCCGTATTCTTTTCCATGTATGAGCCAAGCATTCTTAGTATTCCTCATGTGCTGGAAAAATTCATTTCTCACAATCTCAGTGGTAAATTCCAAGCGCATGACGGAGCCGTCCGTTTTCAAAGTATGTGTACTCATGGCAGCCAAGCACTCCCACGAAACTCCCGATTTCTGAAAATAGTGCCAAACACTCCGTTCTAACTCAGTTCTGTTGTGCCCATGGGCTGGCAAGCCCTTGATAAGGAGGGATTTGTTGCCAAATCTGGCCTCAAGCGTTTTGAGACGACTGTCCATCATATCCACTTTCAACTGGTTGTAATAGAGCTCATGGATTGTGTTGTGGTAAATTTTGCGGCAATTGTCGATCAAGGCGTTGAGATTTGGGAGGAAAGTGTCCTGATGATATTGCATCATTGCTTCCTTGATTTTCTCTTCGCTCGTTGCCAGAATGGGCACTTCAGTGATGCTGTTAAAAGGCCGTTTTTTGCTGAGGTCTAGCTTCTCCATTTTCCCAGAATCTGTGTTGAAATGCTGAACTTCTGGAGCTGTGAGGTTGAGATCAAGAATATCCTTGCGAGCTTGCACATCTGTTTTCAACGTTTGTTGGAACTGAGAATCCAGGTCTCCGAATGGGCCAGTCCACTACTAGACCGCCGTCTTTTTACTGCATTGTATTTTCATTAGGCTATATAATATATATTTATATATTATATTATATTATATTACGTTAAGTGATAATATTTTATATTTTGTCTTATTATATTATAATTTGCTCTAATTTATTTTATTTTTGGTTTGTTTCATATTACATGTTATTATTTCATTTTTTTAAACTATATTTTATTATGCTATATCGTTTTAGAGTATGCTATATCATGTCATTTGTTCTTGTTATGTATTATAGCACATCATATTTGTTCATTTTAATTTACATATATATATACATATGGTTTCTTTCCTTTCTGTCATGTATTGTATTGTATGCTTACTAGTTGGTTGTTTTCTTTACTATAATATTGCATTACATTACATATATATATATATATACGATACATACATTATTTCGTTTGTATACATACAAAATATTAGATTTATCACCCTATATTGTAATCATCATATTGGTCGTGTTATTCAATATATACTACGTGTTATGTATATATTTTTTATGTCATTTGATGGCCGCCTTTTTTCATGTGACACATACTCATTGCCGGTGAAATCTCCTCGCAGTGGCTTGGACGTACCAGGCACTGGGCCAGCTTGTTGCAGGTGCGGACCCAGAGGTTGAGACGAGAGGGTTTTCGGCGGACCAGGGCAGTACATTGGAAGGATCATCATGATCATCATTCCCGGTGTGGTCTATACATATTTTTATTTTGCTATAATCCAACCATGAATATTCATAAATGGTAAATTATAAACTGCAAGCCCGAAGCAGTTGGAATATCAGCCATGATTGTTTTAGGAGTTTGGGGATTTGAGGCCCTGGTACAATTTGACCATCTATGGATTGGATGGATTCAAAGGTGTGTGCCAGGATTATTTTCATGAAGGGATATGATTTACAGTAACTTCGTGAAGGCTGCTTATGCTCTGGGGCTAAGGAGGGATGCAAAAGAAAGGAACCCAATGAAAACCCATCGGGTACCCCCCAGAATTGGTAATGTTCAAAATGGACCAAACCAGGACAGCTGATCACCTGATATCAGGCCCCAAGAAAAGCCCGTAGTTGTTTTGTTTCTTGGGTTTCATGGTCAAAGTTATGAAAAACAAACAGATAAATGCATTATAGATGATAAATGATAAATGATAAATGATAAATAGATTTATAACCCCGGAATCCCTCTAGGATGCCACATTCAGGAAATAGTTGTTTTACGATTTTAATACGGTTTTTGATACGATTGGAAGATATGAATTTGATACGTTTTGAATTTGGGCTTATGATTTCGATATGGTTTTGTAATGTTTTTGATATGGTTTGGGTTATGGTTTAGATATGGTTTTGGAATGTTTTGGATGTGATTTTGATATGGTTTTGATATGGTTTGGGAACGGAGCGCCTTTTTCAGGGTTCCTGACGGGTTGGTTTCAAGAAAGGAAACGGAAACAGCCCTGGGACAGCCTTTTGGTCGATTTCTCGATGGTTTTTGTGGTTTTGATATGGTTTTTGATACGATTTTGATACGATTTTGATATGATGTTGATACAGTTTTGATATGCTTCCAGTGAGTTGGTTTCAGAAAAAGACACAGAAACAGCCCAGGGACAGGTTTTTGTGGGTTTGATATGATTTTAATACGATTTTGACACGATTTTGATACGATTTTGATATGGTTCCGATGGGTTGGCTTCAAATCACAAGTTTGACCCACATCAAGAATCACAACTGAAACTATATCAAAATCATACCTAAAACCGTATCAACATCATAACTACCCAGAAACAATTCATGACAACAAATCATATCTGAAACGTATCAAAACCCTAAAAAATATTATTTTGAAAAACCTTCATCCTAGAGACTTCGGATGTTATAAAAATAGATAAGATTAGATAGATGTTTTTTGAGTGATCAAATAGCAAGATCAGATGGATTGCTGGATCAATGGATGGATAGAAAGGTAAATGATTAGGTCAGGTATTACGGTATGTAGATATACATAGACAGGACTGAAAGGAAATCGAAAGGATTAGGTTAAGAAGGCAATACTAAAGTGCAGAAACCACATTAGGGGCTGACAGATTTTCTGCATATATATATATATACAATTATAACCAATTATTATAATCAATTATATACATACATATCCACATTATCCACATGTTTTGGTATACGGAGGCATCGGGATGACAGGAGACGGAGCCGACGCCCGAGCACCTGGATCAGCGGCTGACGCACGGCAACAACAAGGCGCTAGAATCTGCGGTGAAGTTTACCAGGTTTACCATGATTTACCATCAAATGTATGTTTTTTGTTTAAAGAGGGTGCCCTTTTTTCCGGCAAGACTGGAGGACTTATCCAAGAAAATGAGGAGTCAGTGTCATTAGACCAGTTCAAACATGCGATTTTTGCATATTTTTGCCAGAGAAGAACAGATGTGGGTTTGTGCAGAAACAGCATCTTTCCTCCCGTGTATGTAGTTTTTAACAGTAAAAAGATACGCCGGTTAGTGGTTTCAAATGTGTTGCATGCTCCATCACTAAGGTATGACACTTCCTGTTGACACACCTTTGGTCTTGGCATAGGGGGAAGTTCTTTGAAAAATCCAGCCATGTTGGGCAGCGTTCACAGCCAGGCCATCATATTCCATGTTGATGAAGTCCAAGTGGCTGCCGGGAGGAAGTCAGCATGCGAATGGGAAAATAGATCAAGTTTTATGATGGAATACCCCAAGGTATAAGTAGAGATATCTGAAGGATACCCCAATATTGAGCTGATTTCATCAATTTCATCATTGTTAATACTCTGAGACCAGCAACATTGGTCCTGAAAACGGTACCCAAAAACAGTACCTCAATCCCCACGATCGTCCCTCTGGCACTGTCGGGGGCAGGCAACCTACCACGTTTGCAACAAGATCTCGCAGAGTCGGGGACCGATGATACACACCGTAGCTTCTGAAGCAACTGGACATGTGGTCTTGAATCGAATCATTAGTCAAATAAGTCTTCAACGAATGGAAATACAAGTCTTATTTTTTGAATAAAAAGAAACCATTGTCTAAGTCAGCACATCTGTTTCCTGGGTTGTTTCAGTGAAGGTAAGGGCTAAAAGTATCCGTTTACTTTGTGTTTCCTTGGGCCTGAAGCCTGAAGGCATCGTAGCCCCATCCAAATGGCAGGTGTGACCAGTGACAGCCCTGGCTTGAGCTACAGTGAAGCATCAGAAGATTTCAGGCCAGACATCTTGGTGAATCTGAAAGACACATGACCCTTAAATCTCCTGAAACAAGGTAAACCTGATGATTTTTTGATGAAATTTGGGTTTTCCCTGTTTGGGATAGTGTAAAATGACCCCCGAAATTGGTGGGATGGTTTCCGCGTGAAATTGCCACATACGGTGAATCCTCCAGTCATGGATCAGTAGTTGTCCGTCTGTGGTTGTGTTCAAATGTTTGGCAAAAGAGGCTCAGACAAAACAAGAAGTCAAAGCCAGGGAGCAAAGCAAGAGCTTCTGCGGCGATTTTGCTCAAAACATTTTGCCTATGATATTGTATGTATATACATGTAGACATGTGTATATATATATATATATTCATATGTGATTGTATATGAATTCGATACAATGTACACACGCGAACCTGAAACTCAAACGATCTCTGTATCGGATTAGCAAAGCTGCACAGCATGCTGAAGATGCCGTATCATATCTTCCGGATGTTATGAGCTCTATTTAGTTATGCATCTCACTTGCAGTAATAATTGGCCAATGATGGTACTAACCCAGTTGCCAGTGGGATTTACCCTGGTTGGCTTATCGATTCTGAGAAACTACTGTTAAACCACTTACTAGGTGGGACGCACATCCAAGTAGCCCCTTCTTCTGGAAAGACTACGTCTGTGGTTGGCACCGGTGGTTCGACAGGTTTTTGCACAGTCCAGAGCGGCAGAGAATGCCCTGGCCATGTTTCGCAGAGACAGGCACAGTGTCGAAACAAACGTAAAACGAGTTGGGGATGTGTCAAAACCCATGATGTTCATTGATTTCTTGTATGAATGGGTGAATGAACATCCACATACCTATTTTGATCACCAGGGTAAAGGGGATTGATGGGGATTGTATATGGTGGGGTTTTCTCATTGCTTCCATATTGAGGAACATGAGGAGCCCACAATTCCAATCAACTCCCAGTGGCAGGTCCCGAGGATCCGGTCAACTCTGCGCCAGAAGCTGGGACCTGGGATCGCTGTGGTGAGACTTCCTGAGATCATCACCAGGAATTGCGCCTTTCAGTTTATACATACTGCTGGGATCCATTGGATAACCAGGTTGTTTCAATCCACTGATGCATACATGATCGTACCAGCAAGGATCAAAGATATCCATGCCTGTAGACAGATGTAGATGTACATGTGTGTATGTGTTTGTATCCGGTTGAACATCAGGAATGATTGGAAAGGCGATTCTAACGATTTGTGATCAGAAAGCACTCGCATAATTTCCTTTTGATTTGGTGGAGTTTTCTCCTGTGTACCCAGGTAAATTGATGCAATTTGCGGGGCTGATGTCTTTCCAATGCCAACATTCGCAAACACGTACCAAAACTTTGCCATGAATGGTAAATCGGTAAATCATTGGATCATGACCAGTGACTGTAAATGATGGTACTTCAACATTCAGCCAGATAGCTGCTCTGTCGCCAGTGGAGCATCCCAGCAGTTGAATGGGGTACAAAACGATGGCAGTTCTAACCTCAAGTAAGTACTCGGTATATCCCCATGTGAATCACATCACGCCATTTTGATTGCCAAAATTGGTTCCAACCCCCTTACACAATCATTGACACCTCGTTATCTCCCCATTTTGTTTGGTCAAATTGCCCAGTTTTGAGCAAATGTGTTTGATACAAGCAGATTTACTGTAGATTCACTATCTCACAAAAAAGGCAAAGATAAGTAAGGGGACTCATCCTTGGCGTTTGTCTACTTTTGAGGACTTCACGACTGAGGTCCAGTTTGTGGAATCACAACCCGACAGCGAGCTGCCAGGCGAGCAGTCAGATTCAAAATTGGCCCGATTTTGGACGACTGAATTTCGGGTATTGTCAGGGGTATGTCAGGTGTTTAAAACCGGTGTTTAAAATGTCAAGGTCCAAGCTAGCTGTGAATTGGAGAGTGTTTAGGCTGATTCCTGTAACATCCTGCAGTAATCCCCTGATGCTGATGTTCTGAGCTGCTGCTCGCCCCTCTTGTTTCATCAACCAATGGGAAAGACTGGGAAAGCCTTTCAGAACCTTGAGAACATGGGTTTCCCCATGAGAACAGCTCGTGTTACTTGTTTTTTCAACCAGAATGTTCATACAACTAAGATGATGCTTGTTGGATGTACCATCCCGTCCATACCTGGATCATCCTGGATCAATCCTGTGTTTATAACATATCCAGGTATCAATGCTGCTGTTTTGTCATGGATAAAAAAACAAAATACCAAGCGCGGACCTCTTTTGTTTCATCAGGAGGTGTCACCGACACAGGCCCGCTGCTCAGTTGAAACAGATACGACAAAATCTATCGAATTCCCGACATTTGCCTGGAGAGTTGCAACGACACCATCGTGATTTTCTGCTCAAATTCCTGCGCAGACTCCACTGAGCTTCGGAAGCGATGGACCCCAAACCCTAAAACGGCAGCCAAGTATGCTGCCTCTGCTGAAAATGTGAGGCATCGGGCTTCAAAATCTTAAAAGAACACACCGGAACCGAGCGCGGTCCCAACCGTCAAACTTTCCTTCAACAGATTCTCAGAATCCGTAAAGTCATCAGTGTTACTGTTGTTTTCAGATTTCTCCGTGACACTAGTCACAATTTGTTTTCTTACGCTCTGGGGGAATCATGTCAAAAATGGTCTACAGCTCAGGTTTTGGAATTATCATCTGTATTTGGGAAAGTCTGACAAGCCATCATACATAGATTTGGTTTAGCACCCCAAGAATCCAGCCTCATGAAACGACATTTGATTTGCACGGTCTCATAGTACCGCTTGGCTGTCACAAGCTGAAGAGTCATAATAGTCATAGAAGCACACATCAGTTGATGTTGCAGATCAATCCATTTTCTGGGACTTTTGGAGATGTGCTTTCAACAAAAACATCCCGGCGGATGAAGTTCCGCGCTGGCGAAACTGGGTGTGTTTATTTCGCCACCGCTATATAAATACAGCATGTTCGCATGTTCATGGTTTCAAATCAAGGAGTTCTATTTGTTGGTTGCTTTTGCATGTCTCCTCAGTCAGGAGATACTTTTAATATATACATTCTATGATTACTGCAATAGGGAGGACCTCGATGCTGTCATATTTCGAAATATAGCGACTGAATATGGCTCAATGATCTATGTGCGTGCATATCAAGGCCATTTGGCAACTCGTGCAAGGTATCAATTCCCTGCTGATGCAATTGAATCTCCTCCAAAAAGCAATTAAGTTTTTGCAAGTGCGAAAGATTTCTCAGCTGAGCATCAACTGCGCACGCTTCGTAGTTTCGTGTGTTGATCCATCCAAACAAATGAATATGGAGGAGAACATTCTGATAAATCCTCAAAACATCAGCCAAAAACGTCCAAAGACCATACTAGTACCATATTTATCCAGATTCTAATATACTCATGTATATTCTAGCAACATTTGGGTTTTTCCTAACCATAAGCCAGTTCGGTGTTGGGTTCCCTTGCTTCCTCTCATCCCGTTGGTGAGGTTGGACACCTTCCCTGTGGCGGATCCAAGGCAGAGCTGAAAATCTATGACACTCAATTAATTCCATCTGGACACTTACCATCTGCTTATGACTAACAGTTTGCCATGGAAACTCCCAACCATAAATGGAGGTTTTAGCGGGAAAATCATCCATTTATAAGGGCCATGGCTTCCATGGCTATGTTAAATAACCAGAGGGTAATAGAAATCTAGAATCATTGTCCAGAAATGTCCAGATGTCATATTAGTTGATAATTAATGACATAGTAGTTGTCGATGTTTGTCGCAAATTTTGCGAATTCTCTATGAGATTGTCATGAGTGAACTGACACAGAAGCAGCTTGCTTCTGGATCACTTATGTAGAAGGAAAACCGGAGCGTTTGTACTATTGTACATACCCTTTTTGGGTACTTGAGGAGTTGACCCATGCCCATGTCATTTCAGGCTGTAGGGGGAACCCTGTGGCCCGTTTCACGGTCTAGCACTGCTGCCAGAAACTGGCCGAGACAGTCCAGTCAGTACTGGACGCAACTGGACGAAGGCAAAGAAGGTGCGCACCGTGTGACACCATTGTACACCCTATGGAGATGCCAAAAAAGATTTAAAAAGGCAGAAAACAGGTGGTCTGATCATTCTGATGATTGACCATTAACCATGATTAACCCGTGGATTGTTAATAAGGGACCCATTTTTTGTATTTGGGCTCATTCGGGGATCATGAATCGACTCCCCCAAATGGCCAAGAAGCCGACTTTGACTAATATGAACAAATATACTGTACTTGGGTTTTACTTGTCCTTCCGTTCAGCAAACCAGACATTCGACACACCCCAAGGTGGCAGAGGTCAGTGATCCAGAAGGGTCAGAAAGTCCACAGATCATCGACGTTGACGAAGTCGATGAGGTTGGGCTTTGAGCTGGTTTTCCCTGCACGGAGATCCTTCATGCGTAGCATCCCGTAGTGCAGCATCAATCTCCAACCTTAGTGTTGCCGAAAGAAAACACGCAAAACGCACGGCAACACGCGGTTTCCAATGTGCTCTCATACACATTTTGTATAATTTTATGACATTAGGACGTGCAAAAACATGGGCCATGCCGCGCCCCTCCAGGTGCTGCCTGATCGCTCCAGTGATGCTGTGCGAATGCTGCGTCCCAAGCTCAGCCAAGGAGTCATGGCCCTACAGGGCGAGGCGCAAAATAACGCTGACAAGTGCATGTATGTGCGGGCACTGTTGTCAAATGGATGGTTTCAAGATGGGCTCAAGTTGAAATTGGCCATCCATGCAGTTCTCACGTTGTGATCTTTATCTATTTTACCATAGTTGTTTTGCCTGATTCTGATACCTGTTCTGATCACTCCATGGGTCAAAACACAATCGCGTCAGGTCAACAGAGGGATCACCTGAGACGTCATGGAAACTTTGAGAAGGCACGGCAAACGTGGGGCGGTTGAAAGGTTCTTCCATACAGAGGGCATAGATATAGTGTATTCAACCAACAACAATGGGGCTATATATGTACATATAATGGGTAATTATATAATGGGAATATAAACAACTTACTATCTGCCACGGTCAAGTTAGATGGATTAGACTAACCTATATATATATACATATGCCTCCATCTATCTATCTATCTATCTATCTGTCTGTCTGTCTATCTATCTACCTATATATATTTAGGGAAGGATGTCATCAATCCATGACTTAAGTTCGGCATGGTTATATAGATTAATCCATCTTTTTCAGGATTCCCAGTAATTTGACATTTCATGGGGTTCATGACTCAGGGCTATATATCATGTACAATCTTTTGACTATGGCACATGTAGCAAAGCCATTCGAAACATTCGAGACCTGAGGTCATAATGCCAGATTTGAGGAGGGATTAACATCCATCAAGCAGCAAAACCTGTAAGATCCTGCGAGTGTGAATACACTAGAAATGTGTTTTTTCCCCGACCATATGTGGCATGAAGGCGAAGATCAACATCCATCACTACCAGCAGATTTGATGTGAAAACCAGAGTACCACGCCTTTAGGCTACAAGAATAGACCTTAGATGACAATATCCTTCAGCAAAAGTACAATGAAACATAGCAACTGTAAAACCGGTAGGTGGTTGAGCCAGCCATTTCTACGGAAGAGTCTTAGGTGGCCTCTGCGAAGTCAGCAAATGGGTCACGTATGATTCCATATGATCCATATCACGGGTATACATATGATATATTATATATTGTATGTTTTATTATATGTTTGTTATGTTATGTTATATTATATTATATTATATTATGTTATATTATATTATATATTATTATATTGTATTATATCATATCATATTATATTATATTATATTTTATTATATTAGATTATATATTTTTAAATTTTATTATATTATATTATATCATATCATATTATATCATATCATATTATATCATATTATATTATATTATATTATATTATATATTATTAAATTTTATTATATTATATTATATCATATTATATTATATATTATTAAATTTTATTATATTATATTATATCATATCATATTATATGATATATACACACATACATACGCATCTATGGACAGATGAAGAGGTAGATTAGATTAGATTAAATTAGATTGGATTAGGTTAGGTTAGATTATAGATTGGGTTAGATTCGATGGGTTTTAGATTAAGTTAGATTAGATTAGATAGATGAGATGAGATGAGATGAGATGAGATGAGATGAGATGAGATTATATTCGATTAGATTAGGTTGAATAGATAGACAGATAGATGGATCTACACTTTGTGAAAAGTTCATGAAATCACAATGCTGGGAGCCTCGCAGTTCTCCATCGCTGAGGCGTTGCAAGTGTCAGAGCAGCTGGCTGAGCAATCGCCAGATGATTTGGATGCCCAGCTTTGCCCGGAACCCTGCGGTTTATTCAACGTGTGGGGGATGGTCCAAAAATGGGGAATCCCCACAAAATGCACTGAAGATGATGGGAAAATTATGGTAAAATGATGGGGAAATTGATGCACAATGAAAGAATGGGAACTGTTTGTGAATGACATTGGGAAATTTTATGATTATCGGATTTTAGCGTTAGCCTATGTTTGGGCAAACCCACATTGTGTTGGATGGCAGAAAATCATATGGGTTCAATAGTAATGGGAATATCAACCACATATGTTTTGGCCAGTTTTTGACACTTTGAGCCAATTTTTCGAAGGAGGCAGGCACAAGGAGAAAGAAACCGAAACCGCTGATGTGGGTGCGATAGAATCTTGACTGTTGGAGTTGGGTTGGCCTGACAATCCTGACTATGTGAGTGTCCTCTCAGTACAAGAACCTTGGGTCAGATTGAACAACCTATGCGGTTTCCCCCCCCAAAAAAAACATACCTCAAAAAGCCCCAAAATCTACTGCCGTTTAATAAGTTTCCCCACTGCAATGAATTGGGTATCCTTCATTTTCTCACCATTCCGAATGGAGAAAATCACTTCCCACCAAGGATTAACTCTCATTTACGGGCAAGGTATGTGTGCGTGCGAGATGTGATGCTGATGGCTACCAACAGCAGCAGTGGAGTATCAAGGTCACCACTTTTTCCGTTGAAGTCTCCCGCAACGATGCACTAATATCCTGCTTGATATTGCTGGCAAGCTGGTAAACAACTATTCCACACCCCGTCCACACTTTGATTGTTTTCGATCTGAGAAAATGGATTGTGATCCCAATGAACACAAGTGACTCTCGTATTTACTAGTGACTCATCCATAAACCACTTAGAACATGTTAGAACCAGTCGATGCTTTAAGCATCTTTAAGCTATGTGTCCATCGATGTCCATGGTGATGTCTCCATTTTTTGCCATGGTGATGTGAAAAGATCATATCCCGGAGAGTCAAGAAGTGACCAAAAAAATCCATGGCCTGCACATGTCCCTGGGATCTTTAAAGGAAAAGAATAATGTTCTGCTAATGTATACTTTTTGTTTCTGCAAGTTTCCCTTTCAATTTGAAAGAAGTATGACTTACTGCCAGTTCCTTTTTTCCCCACTGCTCCAAACACCTCGAAACACAAGGTATTTGGAGGACTGAGGTCATATAAACCAGCGTTGAGCCACGTAAAAGAACCCTGGGATGGTAAAACGCTTGAGGCTTAGCTGTGGCTTGTTTGGAGGTTGGCCAGGCGCAGCCGGGCTTTTCCGGGTGCAGAAATTGCGTTGATTTTGTCGGGGCTAGTTTGATCGAGGAACATGGCTCATCACGATGAATAAATGACCTTTTTCCCAGGCGTTTCCATGGTTTTTACGAGTAACTCTAAGGGATTAGTTTCCTCAAAGCATGTTTCGACAGGACCAGAGGGCCTTGGAGGACCTCAAAAGCCTGCAGTCCTCATGCGAGCGCAGCCTGGCTGACCTCAGCAGATGGAGGTTTCCTAAGTCATGGGGGTACCGGGATACCCCAATGGCTGGATGGGTTATAATGGAAAATCCTGTTAAAATGTATGATTTGGGGAAACCCCCATTTTAGGAAACCTCCATATCTCAGCATATGAATAACGGAAGCACGGCAAAAACGATCTAGATATGTCCACTGTGGGAACTGTAGGCATAGCTCGGGTGGAGAGATGACCACAGCAGTTGATGCTAGCCGATTCCAGAAAGGCCAGATGTACCACCCCGCCCCAAATCAATTTTGGGATGTCTTGTGCAAATGGACATCAAGGTTCCAAACGATCCAGCGGTTTCCAGCGGTTTTGTTCCTTAAAACTTAAACGTGGTTTAAATTTGTAAGCTTCAGAATGGGGTTGAAATCGTGCATTGATGTGCGTTGAGTTTGGGCCTTCTTGGCCATTCCAGAACAAGCGCAGTGGCTAGGGGTCAAAAGATGCATACCAGTACCCCGAAAAGTAGGCTGGTTGATCCAAAAAGTAGCCAGCGCGTGGCTTAAATTTTGCCACATACCTCGTTACCCATCATTATCTTTACATCACTTCCGTCTACCCATCACTGTCCAGCTACCTACCTCATCTTGTTGGCAGCATTTCATGGGTACGGTACATAGCTATCGCTCAAAATGATATCCATAAAATCAAATGTGATTGAGTGTGAGATGTTGACAATGGCCCGAAGTGAGTGCGCTTCCTTTAATATCCTATGTTATGTTGGAAGGCCATATCCATTTGCGTTGGTTATAACTATGTCTTTTCTCAGACTCAAAAGAACCTGGACCAGGGTTGCCAAAATGGGGCATAGCATGTGAAAACACCATGAAAACACCAATTCTGAGTGGTAATTGAGGTAACATCCCCATCCTTTTTGAAAACAAAACAGCGGCTCTGGGTCCAAATGATCAACCCTCAAAAATGTATGGCGTAACACAACAAATGACCAATATGGGTCCTTATTGATGTCGATGCCCCAATGACTTGACCTTAGCCATGTCATTCCCGTGTCAGGTCGAGGGGAAACCTTGCCGGAGCTGCAAAGCATGGTCCCAAGATTTGTGGCAACGGACGTGATCAACTGTAGCGCTCATGTTTTTTTTCACTATGGTGATGGAGTATTTGAAGGTTAATACTGGATTTAGTTTGTGATTTACAGTTATCTCAGGTTGTCAAAAGGGGGGTTACCAATTCTAGTCGCAATTCATCACTATTGAGAGGGAACCCCCCTCAGGGCGCCTAAGGTCAGCCATGGCCCATCCGAGGTTGGCTCCGGATCGCGCGGCATTGGGCGGTGCAACGGAACCGGAAGAATCACTACGCGCAGCTGGGCCCACCTCCATAGGATCCATCAGTGCTGGGAGCAATTCGCAAGGGAAAGCTTTAGGAGCTGCTTCAATCAGCTTTGGGATTCAGAAAATCTGACATAGCTACCTACACGTAACATATCATATCAAATACATATCTGTCTACATCTAGGATACGTGCAATAATTTCCATGTTTTTCTAGCACCAGTAACTTTACATAAATACTCCAGCAATCATCCAAGAGGCTAGCCTCACCCTGCCACACCTAACTAGTGTCATGTCTTGGATGATCAGCTATTGTTATGTTATGTTATGTTCATGTGTGTTCTAAGGTTTGCTGGTGAGTTGATGTTCAACGGCAATGATTTAGAATAGTATATACATACATATAATATCAGATTATATCATGTTGTACAATATGTACCATTTAAATTTGTACATCTGTCCTGGAACTCTCGCTTGCTAGCCAATTATGCAGTGTGGTTGTACACTGCTACTGTTATACATTGCACCCCAATACCAGTTGGAAATTGTGTGAACTGCCCTCAATCACAGAATGATCAATTGAAAACGTGGTTTTGAAAGGCAGGACAATGGGGCAACAATGGTCTTGAATCCTACGTCAAAAGGGTGAACATTCCGGTTCACAACTATATATATTTAGTCCCTTGTTGATGGGATCTCAAACTTGGAGTTTGACCTGCTTTGGCATCCATCAAGAGGGCATGTGTGTGTGTGTGGACGTGCCTGAGTTAAAATCTAGATCTTAACATGTTCTACCGTGGGTTAGTCTAAAAATAGGGGAGACCATCTGAATGGGCAAAATGAATTCTGCAACATGGGAGATATTTTGGGGGCTCAAATTTTTGAAGTACCCCACATGTTCCAAGTAAGTGCCACTTACATCCCCCTCTTCTGGGTCCATTTTTCGAACGTGTTCAATCTTTGGGGAATATTTAGTGAAAATGCATGGATCATGGAAACTAAAGAATTATAGAAATCCAATCGATTCAGGGTATTTCACACGAAGTGTTAATTTTTGGTCAACGTTTGTTGTAAGATGTGTTCAGTATGCCCATGTATGCTCTACGAGTTCAGAATTTTCTAAGCACGGACCCAATAAAGTTGTGCTTTCCCGCGTTTTGTCGTTGCCGAGGGCCCTGGGTGTTCGAATCGACGCGAGCGCTCCAGAGGTAGCCAGTTGGATAAGATCTGGAAATTATTTCAATTTGCCCAGGTGGTGGCAGATTTAGCCAACATTGAATCAGAATGAACCTGGGTACATGTTTGTGTTTTTGTAAGTTTTCGGGTACGGAGTTCATTGTTAGCTATTCTGATGTGGGAAGATGTCAGCCGAACAAAAAATGCCAGGACAACGGTGGATTGCACCAGAAGAAAAATTGACTATAATTGAATTGACTGGCAACAATGGCTGAATTTCTGGATTAATCTTGGCAAGTGGTTTTGCAAGCAACAATGAAATTAGCAAAAAATTGCATTGCTAGGAGCTTGCTAGTAAATGAAGATTCAGGCATGATTTACTGTACTGGGTATAAGGCTTCAGTGAAGGGTTTATTTGGCCCACCACAAAATTCTTGGGAAATTCCCCACGGTTTTAATCGCTGTTGATGGGGAAGTAGCCCGTACAACTGGGTCGCGCGTTGGTGGTAGTGGAAAACCCTTCCCATGCAGAGGTGATGGTTGCAGAAGAAGCGTCAGGGACGCTATCAACATGCCTCGTGTGAAAATATTTTTCACGGTGTGTTTTTCGTTGCTTGAACAAAAAGATTGTTTTTTTCTACCTGGTTGTCTAGTTGCAATTTTGGTTTGAATTATACAATTCAGAGCGTGCCAAGCGTTATTTTGACCCAGACCCATTACCACGCTTCGAACTATTTCAGCAAAACCACAAGAACCTGTGTTGTTTGATGATCATTTACTATCCAGGAATCTAACATAGCTATGGTGTAAATTTCCCATTTAGTTCCATGATTTACCTATGATTTTACTTGTGATTTTCCCTCACTACGTTGAGTTACCGGAGGGTAGGCTTCCGCACCCTGGGTTCAGGTGAAGCAAGCCTACCGCAAGACTCTCCTGCTTTGGCATCCTGATAAGCTTGGACCTTGGCGACCTTGGGCCTTGGGATGGGCCTAGAAGAGCAAAGAAAAAGCCCTGATAAACGATATTTTCACGGGGTGTTCTTGATATTTCCTGAGTTCTCTAGATGATTTTTTTTTGGTACTTTCATGGTTTAGCTACCCAAACAATCTATGGGGTCCCATTCATAAGTATCTATGGGGCCCATGCAACTTTGTTGGGTGGAGGGGACTTGCGCAACATTTGAGGCAGATATGACTTGGTGACATGATAACACCAACATGTTGGGGTGGTAAAATGCAACATTAAAAGATGTCCAACTGTAAGATATTGTAAGAAACATGCAATACGTGCATCACTTACCGATGGAAACAGTGCAAGAAATGATGAGTGACTCTTCTGAAATCAAGGTGCAGCGATTCACCATTTGTTGCCTGGTTTTATGAGTGGGACACCCAACAACTCTGAGGGACCTAAGCAATTTAAAACAAAGCGCCAGAAGACACCACCATGCAGTCGCCCTCTTTTTTCTAGGGGATGTCACTACATGGATTGTCAAACTTTCATCTAGAATTCCCGACAGTGCTACTTGTGATATCTTCTGATATCTTGTGATACTCATTTCATGAATCTGTTGTATACGAGATCTGGGTTTGGATGAGCTTCAATCTCGCATGGATTCTAGGGGAATGTGTTTTGGGATCACTTCCCTGTTTCGTCGATTTCTGGGGGAGAGGTAGTCACCCACAAACAGAACGGTTAAAGTCACCAAATGTGGAATAGATATAACATTCAAAATAGGATGTTAAACTAGTTTCAACCCGTCCAAAAAAAATCCGCGAAATTCTAGAATATATGTTACAGTGGAAATATCTGATATACAACATTATACGACTATATTCTTATTCATAACTCTGTATTTGTAGATATGTCATATCCAAAAATATAGAAGAAGCTCCAGACCTGGACCGAGCAGGTCGGGCGGAGACGCTGCAGTCCAGCCATGTTTTTGTCGCTGGGGAAATGTTGTGTTCACAGTATTTTTTGAAATAGGAACCTCAGACGAAGGTAAATAAGCTTCGGTGGTATCCCCAACAGCCGCAACGTTGTATTTTTACAAATCTTTCTGAAGCCTGCTGCGAAGCCAAGCACTGGAAACACCTCAGCTGGGTTTCCGTGAATTAAATGGCCGCAAAACCTGTTGAACCTGACCTGGCTCTGCACCAAAGCCTGACCTGGCTCTGCACCAAAGCCTCCCAGACCTTCACCAGAACCTTCTCCGGAACCCTGTTGAACCTGACCTGGCTCTGCACCGAAGCCTCCCAGACCTTCTCCGGAACCTTCTCCGGAACCTTCCCCAGAACCCTGTTGAACCTGACTTGGCTTTGCACCAAGGCTTCCTGGAACCTTCTCCGGAACCCTGTTCAACCTGACCTGGCTCTGCACGTCTCTGCACCAAAGCCCCCCAGACCTTCTCCGGAACCTTCTCCGGAACCTTCTCCACAACCCTCTTAAACCTGACTTGGCTTTGCACCAAAGCCTCTCGGAACCTTCTCCGGAACCCTGTTGGGCCTGACCCGGCTCTGCACCAAAGCCTCCCGGACCTTCTCCGGAACCTTCTCCGGAACCTTGTTGAACCTGACCTGGCTCCGCAAAGCCTCCCAGACCTTCTCCGGAACCTTCTCCGGAACCCTGTTGAACTTGACCTGGATCTGCACCAAAGCCTCCCGGAACCTTCTCCGGAACCTTCTTTGGAACTTACCCTGTTGAACCTGACCTGGCTCTGCACCAAAGCATCCCCAGACCTTCACCAGAACCTTCTCCGGAACCCTGTTGAACCTGACCCGGCTCTGCACCGAAGCCTCCCCGACCTTCTTCGGAACCTTCTCCGGAACCCTGTCGAACCTGACCTGGCTCTGCACCAAAGCCTCCCCGCCCTTCTCCGGAAACTTCTCCGGAACCTTCTCCGGAACCTTCTCCGGAACCCTGTTGAACTGACCGGGCTCTGCACCAAAGGCCTCCCAGACCTTTTCCGGAAGCTCGTTGAACCTGACCAGGCGACTGCACCAGTGCACACCGGAGCTCTTCTGGGCTGAAGACCCCATTAGTGTACACCGTTGGGTAAAAAGTAGAATTTCAGATGAGGCCCCTTTGATGGTCTATTGGCCATGGGTCACCATGGAATCTGGGAAGCTCACCGACCAAGGCAGCTGGTCTTGGGTGGTACCCCCGAAGTTGAACATGGCCAAGTCGCGGTTCCAAGTTGAGTTTCTGAAGTGTAACTTTGGAATGAGGTCATAGAATGTCATAGAGGGAAATGGAAACATCAAATGACATCAACCATCCCACTGAGAACTACCCACCACCAAAAATCGGAGTGGAACCCAACTGGTGGCCCACGGTGCCTCCAGAACCATGTGAAACGGAAAAAACTCTCGGCTGGGTCATTTTCGAACTGAAATCCGAGATATCCTCATCAATCTGCGAAAATTGTAAAAGACCTCACTGCACATGGTGGTTCATTAGCAAGTCATCCGCAAAATTGTTTATTTAATTTATCATGATGTACCCGGATGAAGGGTTGAGTAGGGACGTAGTTGTAAATGGCGTGATTGTAGCCCAACTTGAGTTGGTTGCCATGAGTTTGTGGGATCTGTCAACGTCCCACCTTTCGAACTAGCATGCCGGTTTGGCCACTAAAATCCTCAAGTTTGACAATTCGTTGGTTCTAGTTGTCGAACATGGGACGGCAGCTTGCAAGACTTGCAAGATGAATCTTTAAACCATTGAATGTCAAATCGTTACACGATCTGTATTTATACATATATATATATATAGATATTTATATATATACATACATATACATATACATATATATATATACATATATATATATACATACATATACATATGTATATCTATATATATATATTTACATACATACACTTATATATATATACATATGTTTGTGTAATTATGCATTTTCGCAATTAAATAAATATATATATATATATCATATATCATTTTATATATAATGCATTTTTAGATGATTCATGCTTGTCATCATTACTACTACTATATATTGCAGTAGGATGCGCACCGCCAGGCACGTTTCCGTGCGGCACAAGAAGCCTGGGAGATGCTGGGCAGTGGGCGTTCTCAGACCGGAAACGTCCAAAAAGGCGTGATTTCCCCCATCATTATCCAACAAATGAGGATTTGACGATTCAACCATCAAAAATGTGCATTTAGCAATGAAAAATGCGGATTGAATCATGAAAATTGGTAATTAACCGTCAAAAAATTCGAATTTAACCATCCAAAATATTGATTTTGAAATAAAAAAGGTGGTTTTGACCAACAAAATACCGGCTCTTTAAGCATAGATGACTATGAGACAAAAATGGGATACTAATGGACTGACAAAAGGCTGGTCATTATTTGTATGAAACACTACTAAGCCATCCCATTTTGGGGTCAACCTAAATAGTTGAGCAACCATTTTGCATTGTTTCCAAAAATGCCCCCAGGCTCATCTACGTATGTTTGCATGTATGTGTACATGTATATATATATACAGATAAATCAAAATTTCCACAACATGTTCAATTGAAGCCCATATATTGGATTATCAGCGAAGTCACATCTTGCATGGTGTCATTGATCACTTGGCAAATGCCTGCAAATCCCCCATTTCCACGAGTACTGCAGCAGAATTCACCATAATGTGATATACTTTGGACAATTGTAATTCTAGTCAGATAGATACATATACATACCAAACATAAATTTGTGTATCCCTATAGCAGTGTTTCTAAAGATATCCATTGTGTCCAAAGATCTGGAAGCCTCAAGTCGATGATCTCAGGCTACAGATTTTGATCCCTTTCGGCCATGTCTTGCCCAAATAGAATGTGTGGCACTAAACAAACCATCCCAGTCATCAACTGATGTGAGAATCATGCAAAACATCCCCAAATAATGGTATAATTACAGTATCCTAAATGAACCCCACTTAGGGCTGGTCTATTATGTTTTACTATTGGCTTTATATACCTGATGCACCTGATTACACCCTCTTGACATCCCTTCATGTCAGGGTTACAAGGAGTGAAATTGCCTCGTCACCAGTTGATCGATGAAGGTTGATGATTAGTCGGTTACAAATCCACCGGGATATCATCGGGATTCAACATCATATACCATATGTTTAGTGAATGGGTAATGGACAAGCACCACTTCCAACGGGAAAGTCATCAGCCGGATTCTCCTTTAGCAAGATTGACAGAGGTTAGCCTAATTGCCATATCTAGTTCACTTTTGCTTGGAAATACTAAATAATTAAGCACCTCAAGCAATTCTTTTCAATTGAGTCTAGCACAGTGTGTCCGTGACTAACACTCTGACATTCCCAAAGAATAGTGTCCATTCCCAGAAAAAAGAGCCCCGAAGATGATTTTCCTTCTAGAGACATTCTGGGGTTACATGTTAGATTTAAGGCTGTGTAACCCGTTGCCATCCACGATGCATCCTACACCAGGTGAGACCATGCGCAGAGTTTATGACTGCGGAGCACTTCCAAGGCCAGACACCTCACTTTGCCAGAAAAAGAATGGAAAAATCTGTCCAATTTGGCAATCTGATGAGGAATTCTCACCAAAATTGACGGTTTATGATAGTAGTGGTGATCTCCTCACTGGGACTTTGAAAGGATTTCATCCACAGAAACAGGAAGAACAATATACCAGCTTATGGTTGTTTGATGTGAAAGTCATGACCAGCCATGAAATTTTGGTGGACCATGTTTTCAGGCAAAACCCACTCAAGTTCTTAGGTTCTTTGCTGATTGGTATCCATTCCTTCAATGTGTCTTCCTTGCGATGATGGTCCACACTTGACAAGTTCATTGTTCCAGGAGGTGAACCCACCCATTTAGGTGCTTTGATGAATTCACATGGATTCACCACATACACTAAACCACGAAGATCTAGGTTTGTCCAAGATTCTTGCAATATCGGTGATGTTCTACCCAGTGACTTTCATGTTTTTCAGGGCTTGTGCGTCCACCGAGATGTTTGGACCGTTTTGGGCCAACATTTGCGCAACATGGACTCAACCTGGGGTCAACGACAGAAGGAAGGAAAAACGGAGATTAAGAAAAAGAAAGGGAGCGAAACAACATTTAAGCAATACAAACAAGAAGACAAGAATAGGAAGGAGGGACAGAAGGAGGGTGGGAAGGCGTCTTCGCTTGTTGTAGCTGATTACTTCTTGGTTTGTGACTTTTATAGAAGCAAGTGCCAAAATCCTGCAAAGCTCATGCCGAGAGATGATCAAGCTCCACAATGATGCAGCTCCGTACCAAAAAAACAGAAAGAAGCACAACCCACCAAGAATATCCAAGAATTGTGCCTCTTATTTTGTTTGCAAGTGAAAAGAAGCAGCGGAAAAAAAAGCATCCAACTTCCAACATCCAACAAATACCACAAGAAAAACAACATAAGCATCCAACACCCAACCCCTTTGCAGCTCCGCCAAGTATTTAGTACACATACTGCACCAGACAGGAAATGTTGATTGAATTGGGCCGGAGCCACAATAGCGGCCACAACAACGGCCACGATGAGGACAGGGACCACGACAACGATGACCGACGACGACGACCACCACCACCACAACCACCAAAACCACAACTAAGTTGCGCTCCTCCAGGTGTTTTTTTCCAGGCGTTTGGCTGTTCCAGTTTCAGCAACACACGCACAGATGCAAAGATCTTCTTTTCCCACCGTTTTGTTGTTGACAAAGAAGTGCGCATCCCGCCCAGGGAGCTAAAAAGATCGGGTATGCCCAGCCAACCCTTTCATATGTGTATATATATATGTGTGTGTGTGTACATAAAAATCTATAATTGAGAGATATATAGAGATACATACATACATGCATGCATGCATGCCATTACATACCAGTACATACCAGTACATACCATTACATACCATTACATACCATTACATGCCATTACATACCATTACATACCATTACATACCATTACATACCATTACATACCATTACATACCATTACATTCCATTACATTACATTACATTACATACATATATATATATATACGTATTTATGTTATATGAAATGCAAGGAGCAAGATTATTCGGCTGTCATACCTGTGAAGGCGTGAGAAGCCAAGCGGCTCAGAAGCCAGGCATGCAGGGCGTAGTGCTAGCTGTTTTGTTCAAGGAATCCGTGCAGGATTTAAGCAAGGGTACTGGACAGAAATGCCATGAGAACATCGTTGTTGATGTTTTTGGCCGGGTTCTGGGGATCTGTTGTTCATGTTTCCAGAAACCGTCCCTGATTGCGATCTCTATCTACGTGCACCTTGTGTGTGTGTGTGCGGGTCTTTGGTGTTCCATTGCCAAACCAAAATTGGGGCGGAGTAATAATAAGTTGGCCCGCGCAAAACAAAGTCGGCGGCTCTGTCATTAGACATTTCGCAACAAAACAAATGTCGAAGAATGGATAAATCATCCTAAAGTGTGCAGGAAGCGTGTCCTACTGTATACAATGGACTGTGGCGGGAAAATTGTGCAATCAGTTGGATACAAAGCCCAAGTCACAAACACATGCCTCACCAATCGCATGGCTTGGCCATGGACAAGCAAAGTGAGCAAGGAAGTGAGCTAGAAAAAAAGAATCCAACGGACAAACGCCACAGACCCAGCAAACAGAAGAACGTGCCCAGCACGGCTCGTGGCAAACTAGAGCGCAAAAGGAAAACATGGAGCAAAAGCGGGGCAGGGACCAATTATCCCCGTCACAGCGCTCCAAGCAAATGAACCACGTGAATCCACAAAAACCTAATTGAACACAACATTCTTCTCAAGGGCACTACAAATCCGCCAAAATTGTTCAAGAATCGGACTTGGGTCCACACCTATATGGTTCCAAAACCGAAAGCAGATGAAATCTATAGTTCCAACAAAAACCTAAATGTTTAAGCCCAAAAGGGCACGAAGAAAACAACGACAGTCTAAGTTTTGGGTGAGCTAAACAATGCCTCCACTGCAGCTATGGTTTAAGCATCATCGGATGTGTTGATATGTTCACTTGTTGTGATACACGTAGTTTTGCCAACTCCCACATCGCACCTGCCTGCAGTTTCGGCGGATTTCAATATCTCTCAAGTGTTGGAGATGGGGCAATTGCTAAGAAACGCCTCTGGGTGCAAGCAAATTGACCAGCACCAAAGATACTATGGAATATCAAACCCACCGGCAATTCCAAACATCATTGAAGTTCCTGAGAAAATATGTTGGGATACCACGAATTTCGATCTCCACCAGTCTCAAGTTCTAGCAGGTCCACTGAGCCGCGTGCCGAACGCCCGGCAGGCGCCCGAACAGTGTTGGGAGGTCTGACACGGGTGAAAATCCGGTGAGCCTCAAAAGTCAAGAAATGAGAAAAACAAGGTCATGATTTATTCCCATTTTTCAAAAGCAAAACATTACAAATGAAAGAGACTGAACAAGTAAATTTACATAAATTGACTACATTGTCTGCAGCATCAAGCCACTTATAGTTTCTCGTGTAATGATTCGCCATGTTTCTATTTAACAGATACTGCCGGTAACCACCAACTGCATTCCCCAAGAAACCTGGCATCGGGGACCTAGCGTATCCCAAAGTTAGTGTGCAGTGCATGCGCGGCACCCAACCAAGAAACAAGTAAAGTGCTGATGAATGCCATAATGTGTATATAATTGTGTGTGTTTATATATACTATATATATACATATATACATATATACATATATACATATATACATATATACATATATACATATAACTGTATACATACTCTGGCAGTTTTGAAGGATGTGTTCCAGTAGTAAGTACTATTGCGGAGCTCAAGAGCAAGAGATGATGAGATTTCCCTTGGATTCGGTGGTTGAAGCCAGATGGGATATGTCAAAAGACTTCCAGAAGTGTTTGTTTTGTTGATCAAAAAAGCCACTGATCTCCCAATGTTGTTCACCAAAAATTGGACAACAACGACCTGCAGTTTTTTTTGTATGATCCCCAGCTGCTAGTGTTGGTGATCTCACTATTTTTTTGGCGTCAAATACCCAAATGTTGCCCATGTTTGGCGATCGCTCTCAGTCCCTCCGGCTGTCTCGCAAGGCTGGGGGATTTGGTGGGGATTCAGCCCAAAAAGTGCTGAAAATCCAAGGCTTATACCACCCATGGGTCATTCCGGATTGTTTATGGTCTTGGGTTCACCGCATTCTCATTTGCCACTTCTAGAGGTTGCAATATACGTCCATGTTTGTTGGTCATATTCCGTGTTTCTCTCAAATCCCCATTGGCTATCCACTTCCACACAGTATTGGAATCCTCATGTATATACATATTTGGGGGATGTGAATACATATACGTATAATACAATATAATATGATATAATATAATATAATATGATTCTATATATAATATAATAGTTTAAGATATACACGTATATATATATATGTGTGTACATGTGTTGTGTGTATTTATAATATATATATATATGTATATATATATATGTATATATATGTATATATGTATATATATATACCGTACATGTACATGTACATTGCATATACACGCACATTTTGTCTTTTGACCGTGCTAGCCGACCTCACCATAAAATATAATAAGTGATGGTTAGATCATCCTGAAATTGGCGAACCATCGTATTTTGAACATATGTATACTGAAAATTAAGGTTGTTGAAAAATGGAGCCCAGAAACCACGGAATCATCAGATTCCACATCAATGTGTGCCATTAACTGAGGGCATATCCTATTTTCAAACAGACCCATACCTTCCCCGTTGGTTGGTCTGATGCTTCCATTCCTGGAGTCAAGCGTATCTACGATGTTCAGGCCGGCGGCACTATGCAGGCAGCACGGCACCCGGCCTTGCAAGGTTCAGAGTGCAGGTGCAAAGGTGCACGTTAGCCACATAAACATAAGCCTACAAAAACAATCAATGTCACATGTCAAAATGTGGGACAAAGACCTTGCTAGTCTTACCAATGGGACCAGCACATCCCAGTTTGTGCTGATCCTTTAGGAGTATGGGCCCGCTGAGGTGTCAACTACACCACTGGCAGATCCCAGCCAGGTGCAGGTCAGCATGTCGAGATGTGAAAATATGTTGGTAAGGAGCCAACGCCCCCCTGGGTTTCGTTGGACCTATCCTGAATACCGAAAGAGAACAGAAACCAAAGGCATCCAAAGAGTCAAGCCAAGTACACTCCATGGTTCAATTTACTGATTTTACAGGGTGTTTTCCCTTTGAAGCTATGTTTGGGATGAATGCTTGTAGAGATACCATACATGGAGCTGCGAGATTCCAACCACCAGCCATCTGGTGATGCCCTTGTTCCTACGTTCCATCCCAAAATGGGATAGGAATCCTAAATGGGTTCATTTCACTACTAGGAAAATCCAATCGACGAGTAAACAGATAGTTGTGGGTCTATACATGGATATGTGTATATTATAGAATATATTATATAATATAATATAATATGATATAATATAATATGATAATATATATTATATTTTAATTTAATATAATATAATACAATATAATATAATAATAATAACAATACAATAATAATATAATACAATACAATACAATATATAATATTATATTATATTATATTATATTTTACAATACAATATAATGTAATACAATGTAATATAGTATAATATAATATACTATAATGTAATCTAATATAATATAATACAATATAATATAAAATAATAATATATTATAGTTTAGTATATTATATTATATCATATTATACTTAGACTTTAATATATTGTATTATATTATATTATATTATATCATATCATATTTTATTATATATACATATTGTATTGTACATACATATTTATATATATATATATTTATATTTTGCAATGTAACGCGTGTATATATATATATATATTGTGTATTATATGTGTTATACACATGTTCCAATATATCCTGATTTTTGCAGTTATGTAGAGGGGCCCTGACACGCCACAGATCCTACCTTTATCTCAAGCAAAGTGTGTTTTTCTTCAAGTTCTCGAGGATTCATCATCCCAGGAAAATCCTGGCCACGAGCTGGACATGATCACAAAACACCATGGCCTTTGAAATACTCATCAATACAAATGTGTGGTTGTCCGTTGGCAGATGGGATAGGTACACTGAGCCCAAAAAATATGGAAATCTCAGCAAACCTTGGTGCACAATAGGTAAAGGTGGGACATTTTTATGGTAGATTAGTTTTCAGTTATGGTTGTGTGGTTGTTGGTTTCGGCCATCTGTTCCCCATGTTCTTCCCCATCTCTGCAAGGGAAGAGTTGCAGGAAGACGCCGCATAAGATATATTGAATGGTTGAAGAAAAACAAATGGTGTTTCCCCATTCAACCATTGTCTTATTGTTAATAATTCAATATTTAAACAGGGATTATCTAATGTTGTCTATGGTTTTCAACCCTTGATATTTCCCCATTGAAACCATTGAACTCCTCGCGTTTTGTTGGACCTGGGCCCCGGGGGTTCAGCGACACGAGGTGACCGCGAGGCGACACGAGGATTCAACCGCCAAGAGGAGCCGAGGCACGTGAGGGCTTGATGCTGATAATATGGGTTTCTGGGTGCCATGAACTTTCTCCATGAACTTTGGTATATGTTTGGCTATTTGATGGCTAGTTCATATTTTCTTGATGTGTGTGGGTGTGTTTAAACATGGATGGATTTGGATGGATGGATGGATGGATGGATGGATGGATGGATGGATGGATGGATGGATGTTTAGACAAGATTAGATAGATAAGATAGATAAGATTATTTCGATCGATAGATAGATCAATAGATGGATCAATAGATAGACAGACAAACAGACAGACAGATACATAGATAATGATAGGTGGATAGTTGTGCGTCCTTAACATGTTTTACGGTATCTCACTTTCACTGTGTCAGCCGCGGTTGCCACATGGTTGTTGAATGGTTGTTGTTCCCATGATGTGATCAAATTCTCGTATATCCGGACTGAAATCACAACTTGTTTAGAGTGTATTCAAGGTTGGCACTGGAAACGTCACATTGATGATCGCATCCAAGACGCCAGGTTGGTGAGGTGACTGTTTGACATGTTTTGACCTGTAGAATATAATGTCATATAATGTCACTCCCCGGATGCTCAAACAGCAGTGCAAAAATTTCTGGAAGCTTGATGTGCTCACAGCCACAGAGTCTTGTAGTGAACTCCGAATCCCAAAAGACTCTCAAAAATGAAACGTATGAAGACTTTTGAAGCACTGAAAGAGTATGTTCTGGTTGGTGGTTTGGGATACGTACTATTAATATTTAATCTGTTTATTTCTATTCAGGCCATGATTATGCCAGATGACTAAAAGGTGTTAGACGGAAGCCATTGACCCATCGTGTGTTGTCATCAGGCCGAGGAAAAAGCACGGAGGTTTTGCTTCATGGAGCCAAAAAGCGCGGATCTAACCTTGGTTATAAGCAGGATTTATCGAAAGTGGACGACATTTGGGTGAACTCAATCCCACTGGTCCTTATATTGTTTTTAGTCGCTTTTGTATCAACCATGCCAACAAGTGTCATCATTTTCCCATTTCCAAACATTTTGATGCAGGGAAACTCACACCATGAAGCCTCCAATGCCAAGTCCCCACATTTGCACTGGCTATGCGTATCAATCACCCAGCCAAGCGATTTGAAGCCCCCAAAGTCCGGATCACAAGTAGTCTTGGCATATCTTGGCATGGAGGGCTCAACCACCAAGCAGTGATTGGGTTGATGGTGACGGATTGTTGTGGCGCAGTCTTTTTTTGCCCTTCTTTTGCTGCACGTCCGTTTTTGATCAGTGTGAGGCTCGCAGGGAGGGCGGACAGAGGTCGGGAATGTCGAGAAAATTTTAACATGGTTTGACCATTTGGAGTGGCAGAACAAAAAATGTCAAATCCATTATTGCCATGTCGGGAATGCGGATGCAGTCAAAACTAATGGTTGTAATATGGTGTAATTCGTTCATAACATGTTTATGGATGTTTTTGAGAAAAAAGTATAGATGGAAGTGTTGGAAGTATAGGTGGGGAAATATCCAATGAAGCGACTTGCCAGCCGTGGTTGTGAACACCGTGAGGACTGAGATGACACCTAGGAATGTCCTAGCTTCAGCCTGAACTTGACTGGAACCCAAATCGGCTAAGTGCAATTCCTATTTTGGCCATTTATTTTCCCAAACTTCTTCCAGAATGCAGCAATGGAAAATGAAATTGCACTGGCAGGTCATGGCGCTTGGCTCCAAAATGGCTGGGTGCATTGGCAAGGCGAAACTGGCCATGGATTGGTGGAGGAATCATCGAACATTACGCCGTTACGCCCTTGTCAACATCCTCAAAAATGAGCTGTTTCGCACGGTCTACTGGCGATCCACGGTTATTCAATCAGAAATAGTTCCAAGCATTCTTTGGACATTTGTTCTTACAAGGAGAACGTCTCAGTGCTGCTGACCAGTTTTTGAATCGGCAACTGATCACTGGGTGTCTTCAGGACACCATGGCCAATTACAAAAAACTCTCGCAGCAACGCTGGCAGTTGAAAAGGGACAAACTCAAAATATATTGGCGTGGTTGTGGTTTCCTAGTATTCTAGTAGTTCCAAGTTGAGGCCCTTGATTCTAGATTCCAGATAGTCTTCTGCAGAAGCCGGATGGGGCCTCAACATGCCTCAACTACAAAGCGTTGCCGATACCATAGACAGGTCCAGGGGATGCGAGATCTTGGACAAACCGGAAGGTTTTCTTGGGATCACCCTGATATAGCCAATAGTTGGAGGGTCTTTCATCTAAAGTCCCCAGACTTCTAGTGGCTCGACCCCAAATCACCAGTGAATCACTATTTGAGAGTGAGATATGGTGAGGCCTGAGCCGAAATTTAAGACACTGCAGATATCGTTGTTTAAGGATCCCAAACGATTCTTCTTGGTACGAGGCCTCGATTCCCAGCATTCTGAAGTTCAGTGGATTGAAGGAGAGATTTCTCGAAAATCGATGAAAATCCGTGATGTTTTTCCAGCCCATCCCATGAATTGTGTCATTTTCTGGGGAAAACTGGAGGTTCGTGGCATTCGTGGCATGTTCACTGGCGGCATGCCACCGGGTGGACGTTTGCCGGGCTTCTGGCTGTCGGTTGGGATCCCCAGGTAGCCCTGTGGCCTGTTGAAGTTTGATGGGGACAATAGGTTAAGAATGGTCACATGGGGCAGCCAAGCAGCCAAAATGAAATGATGTTTTAAGATATTTTAACAAATGTTAACCATCAGAAACCGGAATTCGGCATTATCCGTATACTGGATTTGTTGAAGATTGTTTGTTTCCCAATGGAACATTCAGCGGCAAGTTACTTGGTTCGGTTTGGTCCGTAGCCTCAGAGAATCGCGACATTGACGTTCTCCAGCAGTGGGCACCATGGATTCTTCCGGATCTGCTAAGTGATTCCCTGATTTTCTGTGTTTCATCTACCTGGGATGACTATCCCAAGTCCCATATTTTCAATTGGTTGAAAGCACCCGGAAGGCATTGGAAGAGTATGGATTTGCCAGCAAAATTCACCTTAATCACCAGATTATGAACAGGATAGAGCGTTGCTTCGTCAGCTTTGTTCAGCTTTTTGCATATGTATTGACACCACATTCTCCAATCGATCCAACGCCCAGATAATATCCGTGATCTATCTAACTACTTCATGAGTCTTCATCTAGCTTACCTACATTTCATATCATGTCATAGTATCCTCTAGAATCACACATTGCATTGCAGATATCTTTAGATATATTGGATACCCCATCCCAATGATTGTTAGGGCTGCCGCAGGCGCCAAACATTGTTCCAGTCTTTAGTGCCTTGGTAAGCGATTCTTGAGTGGCCAGATGAGGTGTGAATGACTTGATGACCGTTTCTTCTGCCTTGGAGTTATTGACGGAACTCTACGAAGTTCTCTAATCATATAATGATACAAATGAGAATATGAATGCATACGTATACTTATATATAATTGTAAATCATCGTAAATCATTGTAATGACAATAGTAATAATGATATATAATATGTGCATATATATATGTAAATAAATATGTATACACGTATATGTATATTTATATAGACATGCATGCGAACATGTACACATTTGCATGTATGTACATATGTATATCCACGTGTATCTCTCCTCTGGGATGAGGTTGCCGGTCTTCATTTGCTTATGATGGCCGGTTCAACCACCCAAAATTTCAAAGTACTTGCAGTATGTTCTCAAGTTTCCAATCACAGTCAATTACATGCAAATTCCAGTGTTCATTCTTGTCATAGCCTGACACCTGGACAGTGTATTCTTGTCTCATCCTACCCGCCGTTGCGGGTTGCTCAAATATCATATCACCATATATCACCCTATCACCATCTATCACCCAGCCGTTGTTTTGCTCAGGAAAGGGCGGAGATAAGGTGCCGGTGGATGCCTTTTCCATCGACTGCCGTCCTTACAAACCTGGAACTTGGACAGAGGCTGAAATCTTCGATCGACGCTCGAATGGAAGTGGCCACGGTGAAAGGCCGACTGGGTCGGCTACCACGGCTACCACGGGGAAAAAAGCGGGAATATCAAATCCTAGAAATCTAAGCCATGAATTTGTTTGGGGGGTGGGTCACGTATTCATTTGAGATCATTTGAGCCATTGCATTGTGTCGAATGAGCTCAGTTGGCTCAGAAAATGGTGATCTCTGTTGAGTAGCAAGACATCGACGAGCTGTCTGTGTGGTGGAGTGGATTTGGCTTTTAGTTGATGTTGTTTTTGAGCTCTCAAGACAGAAGAATGATATCTCCTGTTTTGATGGCTACAATCCCATTTAGGTGTGTATAAATATGTTCGCAGTTCAAGTCTCCATATTTCGATGGATACTAGCCCATGTTGACACAGCACTGAGTTTCTGAGGCCCCCTTTTATGGTTCTTGTCCCCATGTAGCTACTGTCAGTCATATCACTTACTACTAGTTGATACATGTTCATATCATCAAGTCCCACAGGTTCCACAGCCCTTCTTTTTGGTGCCTTTCAAAAACCACCGCTGCAACAGCCGGGTCATCGACGGTGGGGTCACCGAGGCATGCGGAGCACCTACAACGACTTCGGTGTGGTGCGACTGACCAACACCGGCCTGACGGAGGCGAAGGAGATGCATCGCTACGCGCGCGCGGTGGTGAAGAAGCAGCGCGGTGAATCACGTTGCGCAGCCGTTGTGTATCCGCTGTCAGCGGTCATCTAAATTGATGATAATTATATAAAATGCTATAAAATAATTAGCATGGGTTGATGTTTCATTGCCATGTTTGGTTCCCAACCAACATGGTAAACATCTCCGAAAGTGGGCAGATTTGTTTGATATCAAGGAAACATGGGGAGAAGACATAGTGGGATATCAGTTAAAAATAGGAGGTCTCGTTGTGTTTGAAAATGGAGAAATTGTATCCACTTTATTCTCATATTGATAGGAAAAATGGTGAACAACTGGATGAATTGGGATACTGTACCCCTTTTCGATCGATTTGTTCACAGATGATTTTTCTCGTTTTTGTTCACCCTGTCTTCAAAGTCTTTTAGGAGTTTTTGTTCAAAGGAAACCATGGTGACGTGACTATCTCTAATCAAGGGTTTATAATCGACGTTGTCTGAACCTTGGAGTTGCGAAACTGGTGACTTTCCAGGGAATCACAAATTGCTGCCATGGCGAAGAATGAATGTCATCCAATTTCGGCAAGCTCTTTGCTGGTGGCTTCGAATATGTCGTGATCCTACATGATGATGATCCCAATCAAGTAGTGTTCCGAGTGTGTCCGAGTGGGTG